AAGCCCCTCCTCCCGGAACTCCTCCTCCTGCTACTGCTACTGCTACTGCTACTGCTACTGCTACTGCTACTACTACTACTACTACTACTACTACTACTACTACTACTACGACTACTACTACTGCTTCTACTCCTACTACTACAACTACTGCTACTACTAAACCACTGCTACTACTACTTCTACTACCACCACCACCACCACTACTGCCACTACTACCACTAGTACTACTAATAATAATAATGCTACTGCCACTGCCACTGCCGCTGCCACTGCTACTGCTACTGCTACTGCTACTGCTACTGCTACTGCTGCTGCTGCTGCTGCTGCTCCGACTGCCACTATTGTGGTACTGCTTCTGCTGCTGTACTGCTACTGATACGGATACATATACTGAAACTGACACTGCTACTTGCAACATACACGACACTCCCGCCAGCCATGAAACTATGCATCGTGCCTTAACTTCACAAAGGAGCGGCGACCCGGACCGCGGGCTGGCCGGAACGCGGGCTGGCCGGAACCGTAATCAAGCAGCAGCACCCTTCCTAGCAGCTGTTGTCTCAGCGACCATTGTTCTGACTCAACCTCGCGTCCCGGAGGCAATCGAAAATACTGTAGCATTGCGACTCCCCGGCAGGAAGTTCTCTGAACTCCCATGACTCAACCCTAAAGCCTCAGTCCCGTAAGAAAACTTTCGAAAGCAGTATCAAAATCATTTAACTTGTATTCCGTCTTGGATGCTCAGAGCCAGCGTGCGTCGTTGTACAGCTATGGGTTCTTCGGCATGTGGGGTCAGGCTTTGGAATTCTGGCTTGGGGGCAAACGGCCTGTTTAGCATCGGCATCGGGAAGTGCTGGTTGTGGATGCGGTCGACTTGCGATAACGAACACCTAAAGTCCTAAAGAATTACACCTGTGGAGCGTGCGACATGTTGGTCTGCGGTACTTCTGCAGATTGTTATTGTGTCGTAAAGTCTAAGAGTCTAACACGGTCGGCTTCTAGAAGCTGCCGAGTTTAAAGACGCCAGCTTTGAGCAAAGATGAGGTGTGACTGACACGTAGTCCAGGAGATCCAGCCATCGGGCTTGTGCTCCAAGCGGACTACGGGAAATGTTCGAAAAAGCCGTCCTGCTCCTCCCGACCCGATGAACTCCCATCGCCAGGATCGGTCCCGACGTCTCTCAGAACCCTCGTCGAGGCACCAAGAGGCCGCCTCTTCCTCTCCGGAGCCTGAGCTGCCCGTGCTGCCCGCTGTGTGTTGAGCCGGACTTTTTGCCATGCCCGATCGATGTCGACTGTGCTCATGTAATCTGTAGCCTGTGCCAGATATCCCATGGTCACGTGCTTCCTTGCGGCCTCAAGCAGGTCAACTGGGTGCCCATGGTCAAACACCCGTGGCACACATGAATTTTGCAGATCTGCAAGGCCATTCCTGGCGATGAAATAGGCCAGGTTAAGGCCCAAACCCTGCATGTCTGCTTGAGACACACGGATGTGATTTCCTAGCCTACCGTCCATCGGCTGTGCATGCCCTTGAAAGTATGCATAAGCAGCCATAGCTGCCGCATGATCTGTAAAATTCACGAAGGCCAAAGCCACATTCTTTGCTTTGGTCTTCCCCAGCGGCACGTATACGAAGTCATACCGGCCCGACTAATACTGGTTCATTATACCCAACAAGGCTTCAGCTGTCAGCCTCGAAGGCAAGCGTCTCAGCATGATGGCTGTGGCTCCAGGAGCAAGAAACTGTATCTGCTGCCCCGGCACGTCGAATGACATTTCCATCCGCAGCAGGAGGCAGTCTTCTACTGAGATTCTACTGCCTAGGACTTCGACGATCCCAATTAGTTGCCTTCATAAAATGGAAAACACGTTGCTGCGCAAGGTCAATACCCTACATCCGTAAACCATACAGCCCTACAAAAACATAAATGTTGGAACGTCCCCCTGTTGACATCTCAATGCGTGTATCCCAGTTAGTCCGGGCTCGAAGACTGGAGCATGTCCGGCTTGCCTTCGAATCCTTGTAAAGCTGATGCCTGCTTGATCGACCCCCTTCTTTTAACAATACCGAAATGCCACAATAATCCTCGAAGGGGCTTGGGCTACCATGGTAGACAATATCTTCTCGAGCACAAAGACGACATTGAATTCTCGAGCAGTAATCTTAACTCTTAACAGTGATTCAGTGCCAGTTGTATGGTTATTTGCTGCTTGCTGCTGCGACTGCTGCGACTTCTGCCGTTGCTGCTGTTGCCTCTACTCCTGCTACTGCTGCTATTACATATCACCGTCATCACCAACGCCACCATCTCCGCGACTGCGACAATGGACTACTCCAACGCGGCTCCTGTACTACCAGGGTCCACTTGGCTGGAACTTCCATCGGCGAACCCTGAAAGCAACAAGAGGGAGGCTCTGAGTGTGTCGTGAGGATGCGACTTTTTCAGATCTGGAGTTGCACTTGACCTGTCACTACCTATCTGAGTCTGGGAGCCTTGATCAGGCCCGCGGTGGGTTCGTAGGGGTAGCCGTCCTGGTCCTTTGGCAAGTCCTGAAGGCTTTTGGCAACGATCAAAACAAAAAGCCCTTGGATCGCCGCGAGACAGTGGGGCTTGCTGTCTGCTGCAACTATGAGCAGCGAAAGTTGGACGGCTTCTTCTGCACTACCAGTGTTGCTCGACGCCCTCACTGACGACAGCATCTGTAATCTTCGAGCCCGCAACACCGCAATCTTGCATCGAAACGAGACGCATGCGACCCACCTCTCAAATCGCTTCGACACTATTTCAACTCTGAACCGTAGCAGACAACTTCGGGCATCGGCTGAACCGGATTACTTCACAGACCACTGTCACGAGCACAAGTATGTTCTGCCATGGGGCGCTTGAGAGGTTAGAGCACGTGGAGGGTCGAGAATGATAACAAGCGTGATAAGTAGGTAGGACAAGCCCAGGCAGAGTATCAATGCTTCGAATTGCGAGTAAAAACTGACTCCAACACAATGCCTAGTAAATTGAAATGTACTGCCAAGACAGATGAAATCGCCAGATACAGAATTTTGCAAAGCCACGTTTAACACCAATCAAGCAAATCCGTGCAAGATGAAGCGTGCATCCGGCACCCGCTGTCATCCGTCCTCGAGGAGGGGGAATCCTAGTTGGCCCATCTCGCCACTGCCCCAGGAATGCACCTGTAAGTCGGGCTCTGCATCCCGCGCCGAAAAGAATGACAGAAACTGATCCCATACATGACAAGGCATAAGCCACATCGCCTGCATGTTTGTTATGAACACGCTGTAGGGAGTAGGACCGACCCGATCCCCACTCCATGCTTACAGCTGCCCTGCACCATCATACTACTGCGTGCTACAGCTGCTCTCCCTTGGCACTAACGTGCATGCACTCAGTGAATTCAGCAGAATTGAGTATCGTGTCAAGCAGTCGCCCGCTGACTAAGCGCCTAAGTCCCCACACGCTGAACACCCAGGGGCCACACATAGACCGCAACCGACCAGAAAGTTGGGTCAGCCCAATATCATTCGTAACGACCAAAAAACCTGGATCATTGATTGCCCAGTAAGCCACTGAAAAGAGATCGGCAACTAATGTGTTATGTTAGATTCGGTAGTGATTGAAAAATTCCGCGGGCCAGTTTCAAAATCGTAGGGATTTCAGGCCGAACACATCAGGTCGTACTCGAGAAGGGGGTTACAATTGAAATATTCGGTGGTAAATCCCAAAACATTACGGGACAGGCTAGGGGGAACAAAATCAGAGAAAACGACGGCCCGACACCCAAAACTCAGCTCCACACTTCTCACTGAACTACTAGCTCACAGGTCAAACAAAACTAGGCTTCTTCGTATGTTAAGCAGCCTGAGACTATCCCTCAGCAGCCTCGGTTTTGGCAATGAAATGCCGATGGCAACAGTAAACTCGGCGGGGGCCTAATAACATCCCAGATCAGACCCCCGATCACCGCCGGCAGAAAATGTCAGAAGGGGAAGAGGAGGGATATGTTATTACGACCATCACCGTATGTGCCAACAATCACTCATGCAGGGACAGAAGAAACACCGAGGACGGCGCATCTCCGCCGATCGGCAGCGCCTCAACCAAGGTTTCGGTCTGTATCCAGTATCAGGCGCTGTACAAAGTGGATAGGCTCCAGGGCTGACGCTGAATCCAGATCCTGGGAAGCATGATGAGTTGTTTGGGGTTTTTTTGAAACCCTGCAAAAGCAGAAACCGCCCAACCCTAGAAGACCTCAACCCTAAGGTTTTACTGAATAGTTTGTTTAAACTTCCAAATCGACAGGAGTAGCGAGCAAGGGCGGCTAATTACTCAGCCCTTCGCTGAGCATATTCACAATGGTGTCGTTGCCGTCGCTGGTGTCGTTGCTGTCGTTGTTGCCCTCGTTGTTGTGATAGTTGCAGGTGTCGTGGCTGTGGTTGTCGTTACGTTGTCGTTGTCATTGTCCCTTTGCTACTGCTGCTGCTGCTGCTGCTGCTGCTGCTGCTGCTGCTGCTGCTGCTGCTGCTACTACTACCACTGCTACTCCTCCTCCTACTCCTGATCCTGCTCCCGGCTCCGGCTCCGGCTCTGGCTCCTGCTTCTGCTCCTGCTGGTGGTGCTCGTGCTGGTGCCGGTGCTGGTGCTGTTCCTTTTGGTGGTGCTGGTGGCGACGGTGGCGGCTGTGGTGGTGGTGGTGGTTGGTCGTGGTTGGGTGGTGGTGGGTGGTGGTGGGTGGTGGTGGGTGGTGGTGGGTGGTGGTGGGTGGTGGTGGGTGGTGGTGGGTGGTGGTGGGTGGTGGTGGGTGCTGGTGGTTGGCAGTGGTGGTGGTTGTTGGTGGAGGAGGTGGCGGCGGTTGTGATTGTTGTTGGTGGTGGTTCCGCTGGCATCATCCCAACCGGCTGAATAGTAGATGACCATCCAATCGTGGCCCGCACCTGCACCGGCGCCATGCGCACCTTAGAGTCTTAGGGGCAGATGCTACTCGTGGCCGCTGATATAGAGAGAGTCAAGAGAAGGGGCTTCGTAGCGGCTCATCTGGATATGCAAGGGTTTAGCGTCGAGGGCTTGAGCCCACGCTTTTGTGCTCAAGCCCTGCCCTCCCGTGGCAAATGGGGTGCCTGGGGTGGGTGGGGATCGTTTCTAAAGCCTCTCTTTTGCTTCGAAGCAACCCAGGAGCACCTCTAAGAAACCTGATTCAAAAGCCTTCTTTTGCTTCTGAGAAGCAACCCCGAGGAGCCCGGAGCCCGCAAAAGAAAGCTTGCCAGGTCGTGTTCAGTGCGATTTTCTTTGGAACCAGGGCGTAGTCTTGAGCTCCTTAGATTGAGGCTCTAAAGGCTGAGGCTAAGCGCTGAGACGTCTGAGGCTTCCTGAGCTGTAGCATTCAATGGCATCCGGCCTTCAGGAACAATCCTACACCAACACCATTAAGCTCGACTGAAAACGAACATCGACATGTCCACTGAAACGCTTTTCAAATCTTGGGGCTCTGGTATGAAGGGACAGAAGACTCCTCTAGTCCCACTCAACACTTTACAAGAGGGCAAGACAACAAGTTCCATCCAAGTTCGGTTGACGGCGGTCAGCGGCCCAGGGTTCGGCGTTCAACACTTCTGGGGCGTCGGGCTTCTCTGAACCGGGACTTTTCGTGACAACCGCACTTTAGGAATATTGTTGAAGCACGTCAAGAAGGATGGTCAAGGTCCAGACTCGCACCACAGAAAGCGACACTTTGGGAATCGAGCTCGGGTCGCCGCGCCCGGTTGCGATCCGCTGCTTGGACGGTCCCTCCGTTCCCTCCGAAGGCCAGCCGGGGGGGGGCTTAGTCGGTGAGTTGGCTTGGGCTTTCCTTCCGTCTTCAGGGCCCCTTATAAACCCTGAAGCTTTCAGGGATCTTGGCTTCTTGCTCCTTTCATTGAGTAACTCAGCTTCCTAGCAGCCCAAGTCTAAGTCATCCCCAAACCCTCCGACCGCTTTGGCAAGACAACCCCTCTGCCCCTTCGCCCCTGGGGCCCAGAGGGGGGCCTTGAGCAACCCGGCGGCAAGCATGCATGGAGAATTACTGGATCTTCCTTTAGGATGTCTTTACTTTAGGCTTTGCATCAGGTCCCCAAGCTCCTAGGCACGCCCTGAACTCCGAGTCTCAACCCGGCGCTACACTTTAGACTGTCCTAAACCCTACACCCCAAGCATCACATCGAAACATACCGTACCTTACCTTCGATCCTGAATCACTGAACATTCAATCCTACCTGAGCCCGAAGCTTTGAACCTTGAATCTAAGCCCCAACTGCGAATCCTTACGCCAAGACAGTCCTCCAAGCCCTAAACCCCCAAGACTAAACGGCATCCCCCGCATCCGAAGCCTTAAATCCGTTCCGCACTTTTCAGAAGCTTTCGCTGTCCGAGTCGGCTTACGAAAGGCGTCTGGGCTTAGGGTTAAGGGTCTCAGCTTTCGGGTTTAGCTGCGTAGGTCGTTTGTGTTTGGGGCCTCTGGCATGTCTGGATCCAGCAAGCAGCCTTCTGGAAAGCCGACGGATAAGATGAAACATATGCCATGCCTCGAGCATGCAAAGGGAAGCAGGCCGTTCATTCAGTCATGTGGACTGTGGACTTAGACTTGTTGAGACTCGCTACAAACCAGCTGCAAATGAACTTCAATGAACGGCAGCTCGGAAAATCGTGAGGAACAAAGCGCCGAATTCAGCATGCCTCCGCGGGATGCAGAGTTCCGACTCAGCTCGCTTCTAGAATCGGGGACCAACACCCGAAGGCCCTGAATGCAGCAACCCTAATCCTTCACCCATGTAGTATCTCTGTTCTCTATACTTCACAACTCCAACCCCGAAGCCTCAACCAGTGTCGTGACGCAAGCGCCGCACAGAGACCGATTGAAACAATCAAACAGGCTCCCACCGCCCTATTCAGGGTCCGAGACTTAAGGTCTAGCAGCACCATAATCTACTCGAAGCCCGATACCAGAGCGAGTCAAGAGATTGAGAGGGTCAGCGCGGTCATTGCCACGTCCGGCGTCGAGCCTCACAGAGCTGGGAAGGGCAGGTATGGCGTTGAACGGTTTATTACACGCCGACGGCATAGTGCTGAAGGACTGTGAACATGTCACAGTAGCATAAAGCATCATGATGATGACGATGATGATGATGCTGCTGCTGGTGATGATGATGATGATGATGATCAGGGTAATGAGAATGATGATGATGATGATGGCGATGATGAAGAATAAGAAAAGAAGAAGACGACGATGTTGATGATGACGGTGATGATGCTAATGATGGTGATGACGGTGGTGAAGATGATGATGATGAGGAGGAGGAGGAGGATGAGGACGACGACGATGGTAATGGTGAAGGTGATGATGATGATGATGATGATGATAAGGAGGAGGAGGATGATGAGGATGATGATGATGATGAGGATAACGAGGAGGATGATGAAGATGATGGTGATGATGATGGTGGTGGGGACAAGGACGATAACGATGGCGATGATGATGCTGATGCTGATGATGAGGATGAGGATGATGAGGACGATGACGACAACGATGAGGATGATGAAGAAGAAGATGATGATGATGATGATGCTGATGATGATAATGATGATGATGATGATGACGATGACGACGATGACGATGACGATGATCATGATGAGGGCGATGAGGGTGATGATGATGATGATGATGATGAAGATGAAGAGGAAGATGATGACGATGACCATGATGAGGGCGATGATGATGATGATGCTGATGATAATGAAGAAGATGATGATGATAATGATGATGATGATGATGATGAGGATGATGAGGATGATGAGGATGATGAGGATGATGATGAGGAGGAGGATGATGGTCATGATGATGATGATGATGATGATGATGATGATGACAACTACGATCAGCAAGTTACAATGGTGATGCTGAATCTCAGTGATAACCATCTTGGTGGTAGTCGTGGCTGTTGGTAGTGGTGGTGCATAGTGGTGCATGCTAGTGATGTATGTTGATGCTGATCGTATGGTGGTAGCGGTGGTGGGTGGCGGCAGTGGCGGCGGCGATGGCGATCATAACGACGGCGGTGTTGTGACGGCGGTGGCAGCGGTGGTGGTCATAGTAGTGGTCGGATGACACCGCTGAGGATAGAAATATCCTTCGTGTGTCCTATAGTTACGGCCACTCCGGTCAGGGCCACGGTTGTTCGCAACACAAAACCAAACCTGCACCGCGAAACGAGGTAAAAAGCCTCAACCCTCCACCAAAACTGCGGATGAAGAAGCTCCCAAGCCAAGCAAGTCAGCACTGAAGGCCAAAATAGGATTTAGAAGTGAGAATTGATTGAGGGTCAAGCACTAGCAAGAGCCAAGGGAATATATACAGAGTGACAAATATGATGGCACTCGCTGGGCAATCGCCTGCTCCTCTCAAAGACCTGGTCGTCTCGTTAACTCCTCCCAGTAGCCTGGGTTGCTGGGTTGCGTTTAGGGTGCTTGCCTTAAGGGCCGATTGGACTTACGTTTTTGAGATGCCGAGTTCAAGCGTTTGGGGATCTGATCTTCACATGTGCCCGGAGTTGGGACCCTGACGTCAGTCGAATGTTTGGCCTCGCGGCCGCACAGTCGGAAAACGGGTGCGTTTTTTTGGTGTGAGCGAATAGTATTGCTGACTGTTACTGTGAGAAGCGGGTTAACCTTCTTCCGCTCAAGGTCGGAATCGTAATTGGGTCCAGCCGTGAGGGGTTCATGAAGGAGCCTCGCAGTTGTTCTGGTTCAACGCATTCAGGCATCAGAGGCAAATCGCCAAAAAGCAAGCTTCAAACATGAACCGCTTTACTGTCTGGTGGTCATGAAACTGAAGCCCAACGACCCATCTGCGAGCGACGGGCAGGGGCGCTCGACAACCAGAAACCAGAATGATGCTGCTTATGGTGACGACAACCACGACAACGGCTACCAGGAAACACACCGACAACGGGAATAGTAGCAGAAACAGTGCTCGCGATCTCAAGAACGGCCGTAAACGGAGAGCAATGATGAAGAGAATTGTCATTATGAAAGTATAGGGTTCACAGCAACTGCTCCATAGCAGCAATTGTACGACCATGAGAACGACTGCGCGCATAACCCCTGTAATGTAAGTGGTATAACAAACCATACAAAAGCAGCAGCGAATCACACCTACAAACCAAGGATAACACAACGACAAGTATTCGCAATACCAACCAGTTGTGGCCAGCCCGATATCAACGACATCAACCGTACATTTGCTTTGGGTTTGGGGTCTGCGGAAAGCTTTCTTTCATAGGCTGGATCTGCAACTGAGTCAAAAGAGCTAGAGCGAGTCCTCTCGAGAGTCTAGAGCAGGTTTGGGGCAGAGTTGTACGCTGCAGTCTTGAGTCTTGTGACGTTGCTTAAACTCTTGTCAAGTGGTGGCTGTGCTTGATACGCTTGTTTTTGCTTCGTCGCAAGGCGCGCGGAGATGAAGCCGCAGAAGCGGCACTACATCTACATCCAGTTGGAGTGTACGACTGAGACGTTCATCGGCTAACGAAGAAGGCAAACCGTTATTCAGAATTGAACCCTGCACCCTAGATAAGACGCAGGTGATTTTGCAGCACACACACACACCCATGGATGGACCATGGAAGAAGAGAAGCGGATTTCCAGAGCGATTTGCTGAGCCGTGAGGGCATACGAAAATATAGTCGCGGGGCTCAAAGGTCAATGGCCAAAACACTCGTAACCTCACTTGACTGCAAAGAAAGCCCTGAAGCGCCATCCCAGCTGCCGGCGGCATCCAAGTCTTTTGCATGACGGTAGCCTAGCAAACATGAGAAGGACCGCTGCAAACTAAACTCACAAGTAGTCAAAGACACGTTATGACATACATTGCGCAAACTCGCTACCCGAAATCCTAGACCTGCACGTAAGACAAGAGCCGCCTTAACCC